ATATTTGTTGAAATGTCTTATCTTAGTTGTAACTGTTAGTGAAGTCGCTTCGAAACGACGATGGATAGGCAGAGCTGAAGTTAAATGCCATCGCATCCTTCATCTTCTTCAGGGTGACGCACGAGACAAATATGGATTTTCATGTTTATTCATTTGAACTTGATCATTAGTTAAAAGTTTTGACGATCTCATTTGCACCATGTCGCTGAATTGGTCTTTGAAAAAATGAAAATATAACAATAAAATTAATTGTTCACGGTGGAAGAATCATTAAATAATATTGAACTTGTAATCGTTTTTCTGATTCAACAATACCAGCCGGTCAAAATCGAGATGTACCTCATAAAAACGTACCACATTATTCTTCTTTTTGTAGAAACAAGCAGCGAAGACGCAACATTACTCAATATCATCATAACTGAAATATATTCGTCGGTCAGAATTCATCTCAATAGGCATAAAATTTTATCGAACACTTCATCCAACTTTTTTAGATCTTCTTTTATTTTTGGATCCCTACGGATCACATTATGAAGTCTTTATGCACTTTCAAATCATATTTTATGACTTTGATCGTTCGCACACAACGCATTTGGTGTGAGTACACTTGCATTATTTATTACTGTTGAGATTTGTCAAATCTGAAAAAGATTGAATTCAATTGCGTATCTCGTAAATGCAGTTTTGAATGATAAACCCGGTAGATCTGCACTATAAATTAATAGATGATGCGCGATAATGCATACAACAAGACTTTTTCCTTTCGAATTCAGTTATTACGAAATCTTTTCTCTAAAATGTTTTTATTCACACTCTTCTCTCTTCTTCTACACGTGTCAATGACAGACGCACTCCCAGTGCTTATTAATATATTTGATATTCGACATCAAAACTTTCGAAGCCATGTGAAGATTTACTTCTCCTTTCCAAGCGATTCGTCCATGTGCGTTATGAACAGCAACATATTCGATACAACAAAATAAAAAAGATGAAAAAGAAGTATTCTGCGGCATGACGTTTTAGCATAAAAACTCAACAAAAACCAGACCTACGTATATCGATCACTATTTACATATTCATACGTTCAAAGTAATGTTGACAATGTTTTATCTATTCAGATCGCACATCCTTCGGATTTGAATTTCTATGCTAACGGGCAAAATTCGTACGTTCATCGAGGAAGAGCTATCTAAGAATATCATGCATAAAAAATATAACCTATTTATTTAAAGAAATAGCATCATTACAAAAACCAACGCACAACACAACATAAACAGTAAAGTATGAAAGTGGAAAGCCAAAAAATAGTTCATTTACAGACACCTACATATGAGATACAACAAGAAACACATACAAAAAGACATAGTGAGCAATTTTACTGACGAATATTGAGCGTCTCTCCAGGTGTGAGAGTGCGTACCAAACAGATCGCTGTTCTGATCACGTCTCATTTTCAATACTTCTAACTATCAACACTATTATTAGCTACACTTACAACCTTTTGATTTTCGACCGCTTTCAAACGCCATCGTATTATCACTCAGCTTTCCCTTTACCGCTCTACTCCAATCTATGTGAATCTTCAAATCAAGCTGGCCGATCGCTCGGCACGCACCCTTTCGAAGTTCATCCACTAAACTCTCACTACCCGGCGGAATAGATACTTTTCTCACGCCTTCCCTATCATAAATACACAAGCAACTGCCATGAATAGCGACCGCAGTTTCAGTGATAAAACATGCATCGATAGCACCACGCAAAAACATCTGCTCCCCTCTCTCAATACAAACTTTGACAAGCCTAACAGGGGATATCAATCGCCGCTGAACACAATCCATAGCGATCTCTCCCGCGTCTCCAGTTTGGAACTCTGGATCCCAAAACACTCCTAACGCAGATATTACAATGAGATAGTCTCTTACTCGCTCGCCCATAATCAATGTATAAGCACTCAATGACTGCTGCTTTTTACTCCACTCACATTCCAACGCACCGTCCAAACCAATGATTACTTCCTTCGTGGCCGATTTTTCACCCATAACAACAAGTGCGGCACATGCTCTTCTTCTCACGAAATCATCGTCGCTCCTCAGCGCTTCGAGAATACAATCGATGACTTCCTTCGTAGCTGCTTTCTCACCCATACAACCAAGTGCGTCACATGCATTACTTCTCAGCTCATTATCGTCGCTCCTGAGTGTCTCGACAAGTCCATCTATCACTTCCTTCGTGGCTGCTTTTTCACCGATACAACCAAGTGCGTCACATGCATTACTTCTCAGCTCATTATCGTCGCTCCTGAGTGCCTCGACAAGTCCATCTATCACTTCCTTCGTGGCTGCTTTTTCACCGATACAACCAAGTGCGTCACGTGCATTACTTCTCAGCTCATTATCGTCGCTCGTGAATGCCTCGACAAGTCCATCTATCACTTCTTTGGTCCCTGCTTTTTCACCGATACGACCAAGTGCGAAACATGCATTACTTCTCAGCTCATTATCGTCGCTCCTGAGTGCCTCGACAAGTCCATCTATCACTTCCTTCGTGGCTGCTTTTTCACCGATACAACCAAGTGCGTCACATGCATTACTTCTCAGCTCATTATCGTCGCTCGTGAGTGCCTCGACAAGTCCATCTATCACTTCCTTCGTGGCTGCTTTTTCACCGATACAACCAAGTGCGTCACATGCATTACTTCTCAGCTCATTATCGTCGCTCGTGAGTGCCTCGACAAGTCCATCTATCACTTCCTTCGTGGCTGCTTTTTCACCCATACGACCAAGTGCGTCACATGCCATGTACCTCATGGAATCATCGTTGCTCTTCAGTGCTTCGAGAAGTCCATCGATCACTTCCTTCGTGGCTGCTTTTTCACCCATACGACCAAGTGCGTAACATGCACTACTTCGCAACCGAAAATCGTCGCTCTTGAGTGCCTCGACAAGTCCATCGATCACTTCCTTCGTGGCTGCTTTTTCACCGATATGACCAAGTGCGTTGCATGCTTTTCTTTTCAGGGAATTATGGTTGCTACGAAGTCCCTCGCGTATTGCTAGTAGTAGCGGTTCGATTGGTTTGGTAAGTGGAATATTTGATATAAAGGAGAATACCATGTCTCGATTGGTGAGTAGTCTATTGTTTAATAGTCGGACTATTGTCTGTTGTACTCGTGGTTCATTGCAAATTGCGCTGCATGTGCGAAGTGTCTGTTGGAACAGTTCGGATAAATGGCGCGATTCTCTGCTTAAAGCGTATTCTAACCATTGTGTGATCTTCTCGAGCAATTGTTGGGACTCAGTGAATGTTTGAGGTAGTCCTGTTTCATCTAGACACTGAATTACGAGCGCCATGTGTCGTGCGCCGAACATGTCCAAAGGTTCATTGAGTAGAGCATCCCAAAATGCTCGATTGCATTTAGTTTCTTGCTCCTCGTTTAATAAACCGGATAAAAATGTAAAGAGTAATTGGTATCTCCTATTATATTTGTATTCGCGAATGAATTGCATGGCTTGGTCGCGTGTATTGTTGGAAAGCGCGTTGGCTAAGTAACGTGCAGCAAAGTGTTCTTGAAAACTGAGATGAACGAAGTAATACTGCTTATCTGCTTCGATTCGTGTTCCAATGCCACCTGAGTTCGAGTCGTATGATTTTAGTAACCCTACATTGAATAAGTCCGGACAGTCTTTTAACTTGCATCTGCTCTCTTTTTGGGTCTCTTTTAGTAATTGTGGACATAGAAGAATGACATTGTTTTTCATTCCTAGGAAGGCGAGGTTCTCCAAGAACGCCAACTCCTTACGACATTCGTCATAAACATCGGTTTTATTCATTCGATTAGTTTCGATTGGTGACATCTTTTTTTGTTTCTCGAGGTATCGACGGCAGATCCATTCGGTCAATCTATCATATAGTATTGTAATCGTTACTGTTTTTGTTTGTGTCCAATCAATATTGCTCCAAGTGCTACAAATGAGCTCGAGATTGATGGGAATATGTGCAATACCCCAAATCCTGGGTTTCGATCTCAGAAAGTTTAGTAAGTCGTTACCTTGGTGTGATGAGTTTCCTAACTGATTGAAGAACAACTTGATATAGGTATTTATGTTTTCTTCTGTGAAACCTGTGATTTCCATGTGTACGAAGTACGATAAAGTATTCATATATGGACGAGATGTGACGATATGATGTGGGGTTCTGAGCAGCCGTTCGAGTAAGTTTTGCAGGTGTGAAGATGTTTCCTGTACTATTTCATCATAACCATCGAGTAGCCACAGGATTCGGCCTGTGTGAATCTTATTTTCTAACGTATTCTTCTCCTCAACTGATAGAGATCGATCGAAAAAATATTGATTTATCAAGATGTCCACGAGATGATACTCTTTGTTAGCGTTATACTTTGGTCCTGTTAGAGATCGTAAAGGAACGAGCACAACCAGTTCATATTCTGGCCAAATTGTACCGGTTGCCCATTGATAGGCAGTATATCGACAAAATGTTGACTTTCCAATACCAGCGCGACCAAAAACTAATATGCGTTGGTTCTGATCTTTGCATTTTTCGAAAATATCTTTAACCTTAATTGGAGTCTTACTGCCATATATATCTTCGTACGTGCCAATAATTGTTCCAATGTTTTGAGTTTCTTTAAGTTTCTCCTCTTTCTCTCGAGTTTCTTTGGTTTCTACGATGGCCAAGTTGATATAACTCTGGTCGATTGGAAAAGTTACTGCTGGATTCATGAACCGTTCTATTTTACTGTTGCATAAATATTCATATTTGATCAGTTCGAATCGAATGTTGAGTCGTTCTGAATTTTCTTCCGGTACATACACCATCTTTCGAAGTGTCCACAATAAATAATCCATTTCAGAGTCAATTTCATTCGACGGGGAGAAATGCCGAAAATCTTCTTGTTTCACTCCCTCCAGAATAGGACCCAACCAGCCGATCGATCTCCAAGTTTCTTCCGTTTTAGTTAGACAGGGAACGATCTTCTTATAACGCTTTTGAGCATATTGGAGTTCTATTTGAGAGCGCGCTGAGCTTTCGTATTCCGGACTGAGAAAACATACGACGAATGCTGCATTTTCTACTCCAATTGCAAGGCTGAAACAGAGATATATCGTTAGCTTCAACCATTTAATGTTTGCAGAAATATTCATACCTGTCATAAATATTATTATTCGATCTATTTTCGTCGAACCGAACTGGTATCGACCTATTAAGCAGATATTGATATATTTGCAAAACAACAGCTTTGTCATTGTTCTCGTAAGACAACATAACATGTTTGCCTTGTGGAATACTCGTACTGAAAGCAAGAAAAACAGCATCGATAAATCTGTTGCAACATATGGTAAGTCTTTTAGCGGTCAATATTTCCCAAATAAATCAAAATGAAGGATAGTCAAATAATATACTTACCATTCTTCGAACGAGTATATGAATGATTCGTTGTTGATTACAAATGGTTCAGTTTCGAGCAGTATTCGTGTACCTGGCATGAGAATCACCTCTTTTTCATCAGGATTGGCTGAATATTTTGAAATATCTTTGCCATTTACGGCTTTGATAACATATAAAATGCCAGCTTCACCGAAAAATAGTTCGCTAACCTTGAGATCCTTCGTAGTAGAAGTTATATCCCACCGAGTTTGGCAGGCAATATCGCCAAGACTGTAATCTTCTTTTTTCGATACACCACGCCACACAATACCTTTGAACGAAGGTAACTTATTGAGAGCCGTGATGAAGAACTTTAGGTATGGAAACCATGGTTTTAACGGATCTTTGTCCATGGCTCGAAGACGGCCGTTTAGCCTTGAGGAAAAACCTGAGCCGGTCATTGTATAAAGATAGATGGTTGCAAACTCATCCTCTGTTAATAGACATGGTCTCTTGTATTTTTGCTTTGCTTGCGTTACGTAATCATCGATTCGAAGGATTTCATGTCTGATGCCTTGAATAGCTTCTTCCAATGTAGTGATAACTTGGTCTTGATAACCGTAGATCGGACTGGTACTTTCATCTCCATATAGAGTATCACTTGTGTCGACGAATCTGTTTTCCATTTTAATACTTTTCTTTATAAAAGCTATATTGCAAGTAGTCTAGAATAATAAATATAAATGAAACTAGCTATTTTTGTGGAAGATATATGTGCGCTGATGGAAATAAGGATTTTTTAAAATTTCTTTCTCTCGACTTTCATTGTCCTGAGACCATAGAAATCATTCGTTTATATACTCGTGCATGGAAGACAAAAACAGAAAAAAATCCTGGCAAAGTACATCAATATATGTACCAAATTACGACGAAAAAATCGATAACTTATTAGAAGTTTGCTGGAAAGCATCGGTAGAAAAAGAAAATACCCTTATACGAATGTTTCCTCTTTTTCATTTTTGACGTTAACAGAACGATGAATGAATAGAAGAGAGCCATTAAGCCACGATAACATTTTATAGACAGTCTAGAACACCAAAATTTCTTTTCCTCCGCAGAGTTATCTACAGAAACGTTGACACCATGGCATATCTATTTTGTATGCATTTTTGGATCATTACAGCATTAATCTTCTTTCTGTGCGAAGGATTACGCAAGAGATTTCTTTCCACCCTACTAAACTCTTCTGCTAAAAATTTGGTGCGACACCATAGACGCAAAACCTCAGTCAGAAAATCTGTTTATTTTTGGTTGTCACTTTATTTAACGTTTATCTCAGAAGCATATTACTAATTCATGCTATCAGCATACACACTCAACTTTTTAAATCTGTACATAGCTTACTCTCACTAAACCCCATTTTGTCCAACTCTTAGATGAAGAAATTATGAATACAGAGGAAAAAAATTATCCCCCCTCATCATTAACACACAATATCTCTCTTATGGTCTTGACAAACATCAAAGTGGGGATACACTAAAACCTACAGAATCGTAAAATCCACATTTTTGAAACAACAAATGGCTTTCTCCCTTTGGGTAGGATTCGACATTTTCTTGAGCGGATTTGTTTCAGCGAAAGTTTCAATCAAACTAACACTGGTTCCAAGTACAACTTGATGAGCTCTATCAGTTCGAGTCATAAAAAATTTGAGAGTGTGGGTGTGGGTGTGGGTGAAAATTTTTTATGGTTCGAACCGATAGAGCTCGTCGAATGTGACCTGGAAACAGTGTGAAAATCGTGGTCTGTGGTTGTAAAACGAATCCGCCCCGATTTTTCTCTAGTTTCGGTTTTTTTGGGTGCTTTTTTCAGGTTTCTTTGGGTTTTGAAGGTGAAGAAAGAACTTTTTTTCGAAGTTTTATTTTTGGAACCGATAGAGCTCATTAAGTTGTACTTGGAACCAGTGTTGGTTTAATTGGAACCTTCGCTGAAACGAATCCTCTCAAGAAAATGTCGAATCCTGTCCTACGTCATCATTTGTTGTTTCCACAATGTAGATTTTACAAATCTGTGGATGTTAGTGAGAGTAACCTATGTATAGATTTAAAAAGCTGAGTGTGTGTGCTGTTAGCATAAATTAGTAGTACCCTCCTCAAAAACATGCTATCTAAATGAAATATTTTACTGAAATTTCAGTGAATGAGGCCGAAAACATACAGAAAAGAAAAAAATATTACTTTAGTTTAAAGTCGATGCGTGCGCATACCGAAAGAATAAAGCAACAATGAAATTGTCGAGAAAAAAGTATTGAATAGTGAGAAAGTGAAAGCATATCGACAGGTGTCACCGGCGTACGTCCATAGGAGACAGTTCAAAGTTAAAGAAATTGTTGAAAAAAAAGGGGTTTTAATAAATTATCGGGCATAAATCAAACGAATACTATTCTAACAAGTAACGCTCGCCTGTGGACTCGCTCAGCTCTTTCTCGTAGATATATTGTTCTACAATGCTACCAAGATTTTTCGTGTTGCAACAGAGAAGAATAGGGGTGGCACTTTAACTTTACTTTATAAAGTGCTTAAAGTTTAAAGTTTTTACTTTAACTTTAATTAAAGTACAATAAAAGATCGAAAATATTTTTAGCCCGCCCTGTTTAATTTTATGTGGTTTTGGATAATAATTAAAACTTTAAAATTTCTTTAATTAAAGTTTAAGTAACTTTAAACTTTATTAAAGTTAAAGTTGCAAGTTGAAAATTTTTGTCAAAAACCGCATAAAATTAAACAGGGCAAGCTAAAAAATATTTTCGACTTTTTCCTGTACTTTAATTAAAGTTAAAGTAATAAAGTAAAATACTTTAACTTTGAATTTAAAGCTAAAGTATTTTGCTTTAACTTTAATTTTGAAAGTAAAGTTAGTGCCACCCCTAGAGAAGAACTAACCTTGGATTCCAGTTCTTCGGCTTTTATTACTCTCCGTCAGTTCGTATAAAAATTTTAAAAAATTGGTTCTTTAAAACAAACTTTTTACGAAAAATTTAAAAAAACTAACNTCTCCTGACTTGGCCCCAACAGATTACCATTTGTTTCGTTCTCTTTCTAATTATTTGGGCGAGAAAAAATTCAACGACGAGAACGATCTCAAAACGGACCTGACCAACTTCTTCGACCAAAAGTCTCAAGACTTCTACGAGGGAGGGATCCTTTCTCTGCCAGAGCGTTGGCAACAAGTCATAGATAGTAATGGAGCATACATTGTTGAAAGCTAGTTGTATTTTTTAAGTTAAAAAATAAAAAGAATTTTTTCGAAAAAAACGCAAAAAATTTCTTGCCAACCCAATACTAGCTGCTTTTCTCCTGGTATTTATTGCCAATTTTGCTCATTCTTTCGTAATTGAACCAAAACCGCACATAAATTTACCATTTATACCCAATCCAATGGACACTTTACCAGGTCGACCCATACCCATTATCGGTTTACCAATTCCAGCCAAACCAATCCTTCCTGACTCAATTGAAGAAGTTTCAATGTGTCTCACGTGTTGTGGACCACCACCATGTTGCAGTTTCTGTGGATGAAATTTCGATCTTGATAATCTATATTTAATTGCTTCGTCGATGAAAAAACAATTTTAAGGCGAGAGTGAATCATGACACTCACATTCTTTTTTCAATAAATCTATTCAAGTATTTCAACTTCATGTATTTTAAGAGAAAAGTGTACACTACTGAAAAGGATTTCTTCTAGGATGAATTTGTCTGCGAGACAGAATCTTGAATACCAATGCAAATAATTCTTCTTTGTAAATATTTCCTGACAGAATATATAAAAAGAATGCTGTGGAAAAACAAAAATGAAATGCAAATGAAACAGGGTGTGGGTGAGGTTCAGGTTGTCTCATAGTTTTATGACCACACCCTCAGACACCCACCCCCTCAAGAATTTATAGAAAACAAAATCATACACAACGTTAACCTGTAGATTGATCAGGAAAAAGATGCAAATGAAGATCACTTTCAAAAAGGTAGAAGTGAGTGATGTTAGTGTGTCGCAGAGTCTCGGGAAAAGGCATGAAATGTTTCATTATTTACATTCACTGATCATCAAGTGTGATTCAGGCATCCTTCTGCATCTAAACAAAACACGTATTTCGGTTTCGATGTTGACTATGAGTTCATATTTTCTACAATAGTGATAAATCTAGCAGGCAATTGGCTGCCATAACGATTGTTTAAAATCACCAATAAAGTCTTCATCGTCTTGACAAATACCACTCGAATCACACTGATTCATCCAACCCAATAATAATGTACGTTCAGATGACGAAGGTGTTTGTGGATATGGATTGCTCTCGTTTGCATATCGATTCGTTGATGAATATATAGCTGTGCGCTATTCATCCAACCAGATAGGAACATCGGACATGTTATTCACAGCATGAGTAATGAAATCAGCGATTGTTTACACATCGATATTTACTGTTGGACCAGATCAGTTCAAAGTTCGGTACCAAGTGTCTCAAGCAATACAAATGATGATACTGAATCCGCGAAGTTTTTGGTGATTCGAGCATAAGCAGGAAGAAGTAGACGATAGCCAGTAGATGAGCTGTTTATTGTGGTTCTCAGGTAGGCAGAGAATGCTTTTTGAACAAAGTGTGTAGTTGAGAGTGAAGTTGGATAATTGACTGATGGTCGAAGGCAGACAAGTAGGGGTAATATTTTGGACGGAGGACGTGATTCGAAGACAAGCACATCGTGGTTCATAGTTTGTGTCTGTAAAAGTGAGCAGTTGTCCTGATATGTTGTGAGAGAGTTGCAGCATTGGATTATAGTTGAGCATAGATTCATTTGATGCAGCTGGTGGATTGCCGTACTTGGTGCAACTTGTTGAACTGTTCGCTTGCAGTACGATTCCACTGAGTGAAAACACATAAATAAGCACGAATATAAGTACTGTTTTTCTCATTGAATGTGACAATATTCATATACAAATAAAGATAGGATTCAATATGAGTAATAATCATTCGCAGATGAACATTAGTTACACATGCTGATCTAGTAAAGAGGACGAGAGATAACGATTTTGGTATTATTCCAAATATTTCAACTATTATTCAAGTCTATTTTCATGCTCGATATATTTCAATTTTACAGCATCCCAGCTTTACGTCCAATTTACCTTCATGATAGCATACATAATAAACGAGATACAGTTTTTGTAGTCACTTCCTGTTTGACACAACTTTCTGTTAGAGTTTCACAAGAAATATATCGAAAATCAATATCTGATCTTTGATTTCGTGTTCTGCTTTAGACATTGCATTATACTCTCTGGACTTGCCTATTTCTCAGGTAATTTGGCGACTTCCACTAGAAGTTAAAATGAGAATGTTCAAGAGGTAATAATCAACATTAAGCAATAAAAATATTTCTGTGAAAACACGCGTAAAATCACTTGCGATAGGTTAGGCATTCGCGTATATAAACAGCATTACAACTCATCGTGATGGCCAAGTTGAGGAGGTACGTCAAATCAAATTATTTTCGTTGGGCGATCGCTTACAACTGCAACCATTGACTTATGTCAGGCGTCATCTATCAACAGTGAAGAAAATATAATATCAATGCACCTTGATTCGTTCCTTTACCGTCCTTACATGACTCAGACTGAAATACCATCAAACTTCTCTTTGTCAATACTTTATCTTGGATCACTCGATATCTTCGACGCAGAACGGAGCAATTCTCAAGCAATTACAAAACTTAATTCGTGATCCTAATCTCGCCTCGTACTTCTATTATAAAGGATCAACGCAGAGTGAAACAACACATAACCCTATTATATACGAATATTTATTATCACGAACCGCAAGGTCTCTGAATACCATGTGTTGTCTTGGATGTGTAATAGTAACCTTTAATTCAAAACAAGCAAAGTCTTGATCGCCAAATGCCGCATAAGTATATGAAGGTCGACAGTTATTAATACGATGAGAGCGATCAAGATGAGATAAAATCTCTGCATAGTTGAGTAATAATCATCTAGATAATTTTGTACGATTATATTTAAAATAAAAAAAGAACAAGACGTGTTAGGAGTGCGTGCATGCGCACAGAACAGAGCAATAACAGAGAATTTTCACATAGTGCACATTGCTTTTATTCTAGCTATTAGTTGTTCTCTCATGATGATGCAATTTACTTGAGAGGCGTAGGTGTCTCACAATGAAAGACGGTAGCTATATAATTTCGACAGCCATGAATCATTAGCATACAATTCAATCATATGTACCTCTATTTCTACACCTTCGGTAAAGTTTCATCCGTAGTATCGGTTTCTGCATTCATGTGCAGATACCAAAGACAGCAATCACGCACATTAGAAAAGGGTTATACATGAAAATCGATAAGATATTGTACATCACCGTCTTCAACTTGACTTGGTCCAGACTCTCGTGTTTCCAGCGTCTGAAATAGGGAATCAAATTTTACTTGAATGTTTCCTAAAGTATGAATACAGTGATCTGTACTCTATAATTATCAATCCAATAGATACCTAGCTGAAGTTTTACGGGGTTCTGTATGGCAATTCGTTAGTGTAACTGTTTACAAGTGAACTTGAGAATGCGGTAACGTCTCAAGAAACTCCTTCGTTGTTTCGTACGAAACGAAACGATGAATTGTACATATGGTGCAAATCTTTGTCTCTTGTGGAGTTTGTTGGCTACAAAATTATATTTTTTATCTGATATGATGACCAATAAAAAACGACAACTACGTATGATAGAACCGAAACTAACTTTTTCTTTTAGTTGAAAAAGAATCATCCTTATGGTGGGTAAAATAATTAATCCGTGCGAAGCGCATGACTCATATTCATGCCAACTCTTTGATTATGTGTCAAGTCATCGTTTCGTTTACGAGAAGAAACAGAAAAAAACTTCGTTCGTACTTTTTTGTCCTCGAGTGAATCATACAACGTGGATATTTTCTTCTGTTTTCTCCACTAACACATATCACCGTGGGAGTTTTGTACTTTCTTGTTATTCGTTTCATACATCTATAAATGACAGCATTTTAATCAAATTATACCATTTACCAGTTAATAATGTCTTCGCTCATCATGGATGACTTGATAATGGAATATGATCTATGTGATTATAGTGTGATTGGTAAGGATCTCTTACCACTCTTTTGGTGTCACTGTTATATACATGATTAATTATGATATTGGCTTCGTTCATAGATGCTTCCACAGGAGTGCAACAACTCAGTCTAAAATCTGCAGAAACGAAAATGGTCGAACTTGCTCTATCTCAGAGTCCATTATCTTCACCAGGTGTGGGAGGTATGTTCAATCGTGTCACTGCTCAAGTTTTACTCTTTCTTTTTTTTTCTATTTCTGTATAATAGACAGTCCAATTTCGGACACCGAATCACCCGACAGTTTCGCTGTCATTAGTCATAGCAATTCCCTCAGTAATATCTCGCTTAGTTTTTACTGCTGACTGAGAAAATGGCTTCGTGTTGATTTCTCTTAGATTCAGAATACATATTGAGTTGTCGAAAGCAGCAAAATTCCAATATACAGAATCTTAGAAATATCGAGATTTTCGCTCAACCTCAATCAACTCAACGGCCATGTTATGCATCAGATTTTAGTGATAAACCTCCACGTTATATCCGTGGAGTACGCAAAGAACTCAACGGAAAGACCTACAAGCATCCAGCTGTCAGAGTAAGTCTGCCGACTGATGTTTTTCTTTTGCATTTACTCACTTCATCCACTTGTGTCTAGATCCCCGACACTTATTTCAATTCCAATCGAATCTTCTACATTCGTGTTACATTAACAACAGTTGAACTGGAAGACGGACGGCGTTATATTCATCCTAATTCTTTAGAAATAGTGAATAGAGGAAGTCGATCAGAGGTTCTGTCCTACTCGAAAGGCATCCTATATCGAATTACTGGAAACGATGTAGACTCAAATGAAATTATGATGTAAGTTTCAGCCTATCCAACTGATTTTTTTCTTATGCAACTCTGACTGTGTTCGACCATTTGAAGATTTGATAATCTTGTCGCAATCAAATGCAAACAAAGGCAGCTGGAAGACTACGGAGATTTAATTTCATTTCAAACAGGTAAAATTACTGCCATTCAATACATGTGTTTTTGGAATCTTATTCAATCATTCTTTCTCTATCATTCTGTTCAGGTAAGAGGTGCCCAAATACAGCGGCGAAAACTCCTAAGCAAATGATAGCTGATTATCAGCTGCAGAAGTCACAATTAGCCTTCAGTGTGTTCGAACGCGTGGGTCAAGGCCAATGGCAACATATAGAAACAATATTCTCAGACGTTATGCAAGAAGAGAAAGAAGGTCAAAACATGCGAACAATTAGTGCTAAATCGGTATTTTATGATAAATTCCGCAGTACAAATAAGACAAGCGATGTGAATCAGTGGGAATTTGTGCAAGGCACAGGAGAGAATGGTTGGGGCACTGGTCAGAAACAGTACTATACAGTAAATGTGGACAAAAATGCACGATGCGAAAATGGACGTGTAATTATAGAAGCACGAAAAGAGAACTACAAAGGATGTGAATATACGTCTGCTCGATTGAGAAGCAAACAATCATTTCGATACGGTCGGTTTGAGGTACGCATTGTCACAGTTTTTCGACACAGTCTGATTCTTCTGCTTGCTCTCAGATCCGTGCTAAGTTACCTTCGATAAAAGGAACATGGTCTTCTTTTGTTCTCGTAAGTATTACACGTACAACCTTACTACTCAAATACTATCCTACCTTATACACTTGCTTTTCAGCGTCCTGCTGTACACACCTATGGCCATGCAATGTGGCCAGATAATGGCGAAATCAATCTCATGTCACATCTTGGACGTGATCCAACAACGATTCGATCATCGGTTTACACCAAATCTAACAATCCATTACAGAACAATACTCCTTCCAATACAGCTGAAGTACTTGATGCAAAGACACACTTTAAAACTTACACACGTAAGAACTTATCTTCACTGACAAAAAAAATCTTTCGAGATCTCTTTTTTTGTAGTAATTTGGTCTCCCGATGAGATCGAAATGTTTGTTCGATTGAACGATGGAGATAAGGATGATCGTCGCATTCTGATATGGGAAAAACTAGACAGAGACTGGCAGTTTTGGTAAGTGCTCAGGCTTGGATAAGTGTTAATATTGTATTGTAAAACCTCTTTTCTTTCTTTCTTTCTTATTTTCAGGCCGTTCGATCAAGAATTTCATCTGGAAATCTTTCTCGCTGTTGGTGGAGATGAGTAAGTACACTAATTGATGGTCAAACGATCAGCATGTAGACTTTGTGCTTTTATTATAGTGCCGGTAATGAGATAGACGATCATCAATTCCCTGAGCGTCTCGAAATCGAATATGTTCGTTTCAAACCGATGGGTGAGGGTGAAGAGTGACAAAGCAATTCTAGTAAATGCAGAACACATTTTATACAAATGTGTCGACTGACAGCGAGACTTAATGTGTTCTTCTTTTCTAACCAAGATACGTTCTACTCACTTTGTGTGATTTTAGTTTTATATAATGTACATAAATATTCAACGAAGTTCGAATGTTGAGTGTACACTTCGGTGAAGTTTCGGTTGCATATTGTCATTTACGAAATATTAAAATCCGAATTATATGTCATGTCACGATTTGAAAACAAATTGGCTTGCAAACACAGCAGATTGTAAGAAAAAGCTCTCGTTCGAATGAATTAAAAATCAACCATGTTTCAACAAAATTCACAGTGAATTGCTTTTTTGAATTACCTTCGTACTCGTATTCTCAAGTAAGATTACGAAATAAATGTACGAAGAATAAATCCATTAGAGTCAAGCAAGAAAGATGCGATTATTTTCAAAAATAATTCGCTCACGCAATTCAGTCAATATGAGCATCAGACGAATAAAAACAAGAACGCGTGTAGATGTAACATTTAAACAAGTTTACGGGTTCATTTGAAAAAAATTAAGTAAAACAAATGCGTTGGGCGCAGGAATACTATTTGTTGAATTTTTTCGATAAAACTATCTTAAATAAGGTCTATCCTTTCCACCTACTGTTTACGCATGTATGCGAGTATATATGTATGTATTGATCTGCGGAAGTAATCACTATTTCCAGTGATATGCAGATGCTCTAGTGTCTACGCAAAATGATAAAACGTAACCGAAATAACACAAAATTATGGTCATGAATACTCATATTGTGCTCTTGGACTACGAACTTGATTGTACGCGTGTCCAAATGGGACTGATGTATGTCTATACCTCAGGTGCTCGCCATCAAGCTAATCACCGACAGTATCAGTTTGGTTTGTTACTTTGTAAAGCATCAAGAAGATGTTTTGCACCTTGATTATCGACTTGATGGCAATCCAAAGTGAGTTTCACAGTACCTATATGAAAATACATCGATATAATTGTATTCACAACTGGATTTGAACGAGCGGCAAGGATTCGAAAGATTCTTTTATTAGGATCGATATCTTAACGGTTCAAATTTTGGTTGGTGATTTGCCACTAGAACCTAATCCTTTTCGTTTTTACGAAGCTCTTTGTCTCACCAACTACATGCGATCAGTGTGCAGCATGGGAGTTAATAATGTGATGTTTCAATGATGTTACAAAACATTTCTTCTTTTGCGCGAAGAAACAAACAGCACGTTTCGCTTTTCTCCACTATAGAATGAGTAATTATGGAGACTTTTCATTTTCTACACTAAAACACGTCATCATCATTTTTTTCACCTATGTTGCCTATTTATAACTGCGATAGTATTTCGAACAAACGATTTAATTCGCTAATTTGCATTGTCTTCGTTCACTATCAACAGCTCGGTGATGGAATGTGATCCACATGACCATGATCTAATGGGTAGGATTCTTTTACAGCTATGTTCTACCACTATTTTGTATGAAATCAATTACAATGTTTGCTTTGTCCATAGATATTTCCGGGTGCATGAAACAAACGAATTCAGAGTCTGTTCAGAGTCATTCAACAAGCTCTGTTCCAACTAAAAGCTTCTGTATTGTAAACAGTCCGACTTTTACTATCAAATCATCTGAGAATCATGCTTTCAATAGTCGAGATAACTGTCTAAGTAATATTTCGATTAGTTGTCGCTTCTCTCTTCAAGAACACGTCTGCATTCTTTTCAATTAGAATTGGAAAACATACTGATTGTTATGGAGCATTCGAGTTCAATTAACTCCTTGGAAACCACCGCGAAGCAAAGTACAACTCCTACACAGAGTTTGAGCAACATTCAGATGTTTGTTCAACCAAAACAAAATCAACGACCCTGCTATGCATCAGATTTCAAGGATAAGCCTCCACGGTATATTCGTGGGGTGCATAAAGAACTCAATCGAAAAACCTATGATTATCCAGCTGTCAGAGTAAGTTTGTTCGCTCATGTTTCTCCCTTGTATTTACTCACTTCAGTTATGCGTGTCTAGATTCCAGACAACTATCTCAATTCTAATCGGATCTTCTACATTCGTGTTTCGCTAGTGACAGTGGAGCTAGCAGACGGAAATCGTTATATTCATCCATA